ACCACAAACACATACCACACCACACACGGTACACTCTACACACACCAGACACTCCATACTCTACACACACCACACAACCCACACTCTATACCCCACACTCTACATACCACACACCCCACACTCTATACACACCCATACACCCCACACCACAAACACATACCACACACTCTACACACACCCTACACATACCCCATGCACATAACACACACCAAACATACAACACCCACACACTACACACACCATGGATCACACATGACACCCCCACATGCTACACACACCACACACACATACCCTGCACATACATCATACATAGACATACACACCAAATGTACACACATACCACACACACACATACAAATGTACGCACACAGCACACACAAGTACACACTTATACAGACACCCAGTGCACAGACCACGCACATCACACACTACCCATATGCCACACACACTACACACGCTATACAACACCCCCATACTACTCACACATACCTCACGCCATACACATCACACGTACCACACATACCACACTACACACCCAAGGAGGAGACCCAAATGGGACAGGAAGGCCAGCCAGCAAGGGCCCTGGACAGGGGTGCTGGGCATCACAGGGTCATCTAAATGGTCACTCAGGTGAGCCAGTGGTTACCTGGGGAGGTAGGGGTTATCTGGGGGGGGGAGGTTGCTGGAAATAGTGGGGTAGGGGTTACCTGCAGAGATAGGGGCTATCTGGAGAATGGAGGTTACTGGGGGCACAGGGCAGGGGTTACCTGGGGGCTTGAGTTACTGGGGGCACTAGAACAGGGATTAGCTATGGGAACAGGGGCAGGGGTTACCTGGAAACGCTGGTCTGCGACTGGCTGACCTGTGTGGCACTGTTGGACCTCCGGAGGTTGTTGATGGGCTGGGAGCCCACGGGCCCTGAGGCCTCCTATACAAGGAATAAACAGTCTCAGACATGGGCCAGGTCGCTCAGCACCAAGCCAGGCCCTAGAGTAGTAGACTTGAAGAACAGAGAGGTGGCCAAGGTCCTAGATGGCCCCTATGGCCCAAAGGGTCACAACCAGGGGACAGGGACACAGGATAGGAAGGTGGCAGGATGGATGCTGGCCTGGAACCCAAGCCTGAGGCCGACAGGCCTCTGAGAGCCTTGTGCATCCCATACAGTGAGGGCCCTTCACCCCGCAGGTGGGAGGACCTGGGAGACGGCAGCTCACCATCATCATTAACCAGGTGTCACCAGACAGGGGGCTGCTCTGCTTACAGCCCCACAGACAATGGGAGCCCCAGCTCCCGGGTGGGTGGGAGCCCTCAGGGTGACTCTGTGGGTCAGTGGCCACAGAACAGCACTGAGGGTGAGGAGTGTGGACGGGGTGTCTGCCTCACTTCACACCTGTGTAGAAAGGTGCAGAGATGCCCAGTACAGAAGGCCTAGAGATGTCTGTGATCAACAGGCGTGGGGTGGTTTTAGGTGTGCGTCATGTAAGTCTTTCAACTCTTCTGTAGACTTAAAATTCTTCAAAATCAGATTTTTGGGGGAAGAGCTCATAATCCAGGCAGAAATGGCCTGGGAAACACCATCCCAAGGGCTCATGCCTCAGATCTTCCAAATTTTACCAGAAGAATTGACCTACGAACTTTCAGATTTATTTATTTGTTTTTTGGCTTTTGTTTTATCTTTTTTGAGTCAGGGACTTGCCCTGTCACCCAGGATAGAGCACAGTGGCGTGATCATAGCTCGGTGCAGCCTCAAAGCCCCGAGCTCAGGCTATTCTCCCGCCACGGCCTCTCGAGTAGTTGGCAGGACACCACACCCAGCTGTTTCACATTTCTTTTTAAATCTGAATCCTTAAACTAAAAACAAACAACCCACCCAGAGTTAAGACAAAAAGACAAACCAGGAAACTAGTCATAGGGAATCACACTGCAGACCCCTAACCACTTGTGATGAACTTTGTTCATGTCAGGAAATCATTTTCTAAAATAAGGAAAGGGAAGGAGCCCACAGAGCAGACCACTTGGCAGCAGCACTGAGACCTGGTGTCTGGGATGACACAAGTGCCTGAGCATGCACATTTCTAGTGACAGGACTCAAGGCCTTGGTCCTGCTTCCCAGAACAAGGTACCAGAGACTGCTTGACGCCAAAGGCAGCCACCAGCACCCCACCCTGGAGATATGAGGCTCAGCACAATTTCTTACTAACAGCCCAGCTGGGCCCCAAACCAGACACCAGATGGTTCCAGAGAGGACACACTGAGAGGTGGGGGGGACTGAGGACAGGACCGAGGACCCTGAGGCAGAAAACTGAGGAAGGGCAACAGTGATGGAAGCAGACTCAGGAGAGGTCTGCACCCTTCTGAGAAAAGCACAATGACTTCTGTGAGCAGATGGGGAACATTCAGGAGTGTTCCCCCTCTTCCTCACAGAGCTCCTGTAGGGGCTGGCAAGAAGCAGGGGGCTGAAAGCTGAGCACAGGACAGCCACACAGTTCTGTGGGGGGGCAGGGGCTGAAAGCAGAGTCTACCTGAGCCTGGAGGAATTTAACCCTGCCCAAGAGAGCTCCGGCCTTTGCCCTCAGCCCCTGGGACGTCCTGCCCAATGTAAGTGTCCTGTGTGGTTTACAGCAGGGTGCCACACCAACAAGGTGATGGAAGCTGAAGACTCAGGGCAGGCAGGATCAGCTGACCTCTTGAGGGACTGGAGCCTGAGGTTGGCCACCAGAGTGTAGACCAAGCCTCCAAGACAGGGAAAAGGCTCTGGACATTTAGGCACAGGGAGGCCCCTGGTGGTGGTTCCTGTGTGTGTGTCACACTGATGTCAGGGAAGCAGTACATCCTAACTCCAGACAGCAGCAGCAGCCCCGTGTATGGAGCCCTTCTGGACTTGCTCTGCGCTTTCTTCCTCGGGCTTTTTTAAAATTTGAGACAGAGTCTCACTTTGTTGCCGTGGGTAGAGTACCGTGGTGTCACAGCTCACAGCACCCTCACACTCTTGGGCTCAGGTGATACCCTTGCTCCCGAGTAGACAACAGGTGTCCACCATCACACCCAGACAGAGTGTTTTTATTTTTTTTTGAGACAGAGTCTTACTATGTCACCCTTGGTAGAGTGCCATGGCATCACAGCTCACAGCAACCTCTAACTCTTGGGCTTAAGCTATGCTATTCTGTTGCCTCAGCCTCCTGAATAGCTGGGACTATAGGTGCCCACCACAATGCCCAGCTATTTTTTGGTTGCAGTTGTCATTGTTGTCTAGCAGGCCCAGGCCGGGCTCAAACCTGCAGGCTTTGGTGCATGTGGCAGGCGCCCTACTCACTGAGCTACAGGTCCCGAACCTGGTTTTTCTATTTTTAGTGGAGTTGGGGTCTCACTCTTGCTCAGGCTGGTCTCCAACTCCTCAGTTCAGGGGATCCACCCACCTCAGCCTCCCAGACTGCTGGGACTACAGGTGTCAGCCACCATACCCAGCTCCCTGGGCTGATCTTAACCTGTGCGCTCTGTGAATCCTGGGGTCCTTCTAATGAATTACTGAGCCTGAGGGTGGTGTGGTGGAGGCTTAGGTGGCCCCGTGGTGAAAGGTTGGAGACATTGGCATGAGCTCACATTAGCTCCACAGATATGGATGGCTCCACACAGGTGTGTTTGCAGATGTGTGTGTCCACACTGGCTGGTACACACACTCATGTTTCCCGGCTCTGTCAGCTGAGAAGACGCAGAAACGAGCCCCCAGCAGGACCCCAAAAGACCAAAAGAAAGAAGATCATAAACTGTGTGCATAGGAATAAGCCACTGGACAAGACAAACTCTCATGGGAATCCCAGCAAATCCAAGGGGTGGTGGGACGGACAGCCACAAGGACAGGGACTGGGCAGGACCAGAACTCCAAGGGCTGTGCCACATTATCCCACCCTGAGCTCTGCCATGCTCAGGATGGAGGCATGCAGGAGCAGGACTGCCTGGATCTCACAAGGGCCTCAAAGAAAGGACGTGAGCAGTGGGACATCTGACCAACAGAGGACCCTGTGGTGGGGATGATGGTGCCTAGGAAAGTAGGCCTGACAGGATTAACACTGGGTCTGGACCCACACTCAGAAAGCAGAAAGGCTGGGAGTGAGGTCAGCGCCCTGGTCGGCCCCAGATACAGCTGTCCCCTCCACCTCCTGGAAAGCTACGTCTTGCATAACACAGCCTCACATACACAGACATATTGCCCAGGGCTTCAGGAGCAACAGGAGGGTCTGGGTAGGAAGAGGGTGCTCCAGGGCCTCAGGAGTAAGGCTGAGATGGGGGAGGCAGGGAGCAAAGGGACAGGGATGATGACAGCCCAGCCTGTCATCTCTGCAGAGATGTAGTCTTTAGACAGTCTTTACACTGTCTTTAGACAGTACACTGGTGTGGTGACACATTAAGGCATCTCAGGTCCCTGACCCACCTGCCCCAGGCTTCAAGAACTTCCCTGATCCAAGGTTCCCCTACTGCCCCTGCCATCTGTGCCCCAGAGCTCAGCTGGGAATCTGCCCCCACCAGTTTCTGGGACAGACACAGGAGCAGCTTTCTAAGGCTGAAGGGACAGTGCCAAACCTGCTGTCCACCGTGGAAGCCCAGCCTGGACCTGCCTGGGGTTTCTTAGGGACACCTAGACTGCCCCTGGGCCCCATGTGGGCCTTGGGTGAGGAGCCCCAGATCTAAGCAGTGCCCATGCTAAGACCCAGGTCTCCCTGTTCTGGAAGCTCAGACAAGACTTAGGTCAGGCTTCTCTCTCTTCTCTTTCCACTCTCCTGCCTGTCTGCTCTACTCTTCTCTCTACCCCTCTTCCCCCTCACTCTTCTCTACTCTCCCTCTCTCTCTTCTCTTCCCACTCTCCCCTCTTTTCTCTTTTTCTTAATGCTGCTCCACAGCCTCCCTCCCCCACCAATAAAACCTTTTATACAAAAAAAAAAAAAAAAAAGACTTAGGTCAGGCACTGACCCCTCACCTCAATTCCTCCCTCCTCTGAAGTCTGGCCTTAGGGAGCAGCAACCCGCCTGGCTGCTCACAGCCCCCTGATGAAGGTCTGCTCCCCTTGCCCAAAAGCTCCAGCACTGTCCTACTGCTGCCCACCCACCAACCCAGGATTCTCTAAGGCTGCCAGGAGCCCATCAGCCTCCCCACAGGTCAGCCTTATTTCTTGAAGATTCAACAAACCCAAAGGGCAGTGGTGCAGGAAGGATGAGGCCAGTATTGGAAGGATCCAGATGACCCAGCCTTTGACCTTGGAGTCAGCTCCTGAGTCTATAAGGCCTGAGGCCTTCCTATTCCCTGGGATGGCCACCCAGATAGGATGTATCCATGGAAGCAAGGCACCTACTCACATGCACAGCTGTACCCAAGGGTCAGGTGCCACCAGTGATAACTCTTCCAGAGGTGGGAGGGACCCTGGACCCTACCCAGGCCCCAGCACTCACCAGTACCTTCTTTCTCTGCTCGCTGCCTGTGACCAAAGAGATGGACCGGGAGAGGGGCTTAGCAGCAGAGGCACTGCTGGGGCGCTGGGACATGGGTGGTGGGAGGCCCGTCAGACTCAAGTCCCTGCTTTCTGGGCTGCTCCCAGGGGCGCTGCTGCTGGCCCGAGAGCCTTTCATGGTAGACGTGGTGGGCTCTGTATAGGGAAGCAAGAGACAAGATGAGATGCCAGTGAGGAGCCACAGGCCCCTGCACCCTCCTCCTCTGGCCAAAGCTCAGCCTGCCCAGGACACCTGGGTCAACCTGGCACCAAACTCCTAGGGAAGTCTGTCCATGCACACCCTCCTGGCAGGGGGCAGCTCCTCAACAGGAGCTTAGGGCTATTTCTGATGAAGGCTGATGAAAGGCTGAGCAGGAGGCTCTGTGCCCTCACAGAGCATGGAGGGTGGCCTGGCAGTAGGTAGTCAGGCTGTGACCTGGGAAAGTTGCTCCACCTGTTGGAGCCTCACTTTCTCCATCTGTAAAATCATCTGAAAAGGGCTGTCACAAGGTTCAGAGAAGACAACCCTGAGGCCAGTGTGGCAAGTGCTTGGCTCGTATGAGTTACTCTGGAAGGAACTGGTCTGAGAAGTTCCCAGTAATGGAAACTGCTCCACTCCACCCAGCCCAGTGCCCCCAAGCTCATTCAGCCACCAGTCCCTTGGAACAGCCACAAGCTCCTGGCACATGGCAGTTACTGTCTTGTTCCCAAGGTTCTCCTGTCCCCTCCTCCTGCTGCTGGCTGCCCCTCAACACATCCCTTACCAGACAGGCCCTCCTTTCTCTTCCCACCTGAGTCCAGGCCCCCAGGGCACCGTCTCACCAGGAGGACCACCCCAGCCTCCTGGCATCCTACCCACCCTTCATCCTGCCTCAGTGTGACTGGCTCTGCCCAGCCCTCATGGTGCTGGAGCTATTCTTTCTGAGTTGTCTCAGCTCAACTTTTGCCCCTGCCAGAAACCCTCCAAGGGCTCCCCTGGCAGGGAGAACAAAACTCAAACGTCCAATGCCCACAAGCTCTTACCCTGCCCTGCTCTCCCTGGTACCACTGCTGTCTGCTCCAGCCAAGTGGCCCCTCCGCCCCTTCAACTCCAATAGCTCTCTCCCGGTACAGCTGCTGCACCTGCCAGCCTCTCCCCAGGTTGCAGCACACACACACACACACCCCGCCGAGTGACCTGTCCCAACCACTGTCACCACCTTCACTCCCTTATCCAGCTCTAGTTTTCTTCAGATTGCCACACAAGGCTGGCTTGTGTGCTAGGTCACTGCCTTGTGAGGACTGGGGCAGTGCAGCCTTGGCATCTGGCCAGTGGAAGGCACTCAGTGAGTGCGCTGGACTAGTGGGTGGACGGAGTGACTGCTGCTAGAAACATAGATCAACACTGAGAAATACATCCATAATGTCCCTGAGCCCCTGCCACCAAGGCTTCTGGGGGCTGTGGGCACACGACCTATCACTGAGGTCCATGCTGCACTTCCTTCAGCCTGACACCCACAGCACAGCCTGGGGAACCAGACACCCCTGTTCTCTGGAGGCTGTCCCTGCCCCTGACCAGTTAACTTCTTCAGTTGTGTATTTCTGGTTGGGGGAATGAAACTGAACACGCTTGTCATCTCTGGGCACTATTGTTCCCAGCCAGCCTTGGGCTGCCGCTGGGAGCTGGGTCCTGCTCTCCCAGCCATGCATGCAGCAGGCAGGCTCTGGGATGAGGACACAACTTCTCCATGGAAACCCCCAGGCCACATAAAGGGAGGCTGGGAGGCCAACCACATCTTGGATAAAAAGGTGTCCCTCCCAAGACCTGAAGGGGCAGAGCAGCCAGTGTTCAGGGACAAGGCCTAGACCCCCAGGTGGGGGCTGACCCCAAGACCCCAGGGAGAGGCCAAAGCGCAGGCCAGCAGCAGCTCCCCACTCCGGAGTTGCCCTGGAGCTTAAGGCAGCCAGAGCTTAGGTTTGAGGACAGGAGTCCAGGTTGTCCCCGGGATCGGACTGGAGAACGACACCTACCTTCAGGCAAGATCCCCTCCTTACCTATAGGGGCCAGACCCCTTCACAGGAGCTGGATCCCTTCACTTGCGCAGTTCCTGCCACCTGCCTGTACCCCTTTCAACTGCGTGGACCCCCTTCAACTACGTAAACCCCCTTCAACTGAATGACCATCCTCACCTGCAGGGCGCCTTCATGCGCGGGCCCCCCTTACCTGCGTGGGCCAAGAGCGCAGCCCACGAGCCAGGCCTGAGGCTCGGGGCCTGCGGACTCAGCCGGCGGGGCGCAGGTGCGGAGCCAGCAGAGTTGGGACGCGCCGGACTCAAGGTTCGGGCCGGTGACCGGGCGCCCCGAGGCCAGGTGACAATGAAGCAGCCGGGCTCCAGAGAAGCGGCAGCGGCAGCTAGCAACCAGGCTGGCACCGCCTTCGCTGTCCGTCACGCCGACCCGCCTTTCCTGCGCGCGCCGCTTCGGAATTGGCTCTCCAGCCACGGGCTCCGGCCGTCCCGGGAGCGCATTGGGCAGCTCGGCTGTCTTTCCGGAAGTTCAAGCGTGGGCGGTGCAGCACGGAGCAGGGGGCTTGGGCAGTGAGGAGCCACAGGCCCCTGCACCCTCCTCCTCTGGCCAAAGCTCAGCCTGCCCAGGACACCTGGGTCAACCTGCCAGGGCCTCAGGAGTAAGGCTGAGATGGGGGAGGCAGGGAGCAAAGGGACAGCCTGTCATCTCTGCAGAGATGTAGTCTTTAGACAGTCTTTAC